TCCTTGCCTCTCGAGTGGAGGAGCAAGTACCCGTCGGCAATGCGGTAATGGCTGGCCGGCGGGTGATCCGAAGATAGCTGTGCATAGAGTGTGCCAAGTCCGGATCAGACTAATATGCCCGGATGAAGTGTCGCTGAAGCTCCTCGTCGAATGCGAAGGCATGATGTGTCATAGCGCAAAGATCGGGTCTTCGCGAGAGTGCATCTGCTGCGCGATTTGAGAGGCCGGGCAGATGTTTCGGTGTGAAGTCAAATTGGTCGATGAAGTACATCCATCGTCCGATCGTGCTGCTCACCGTATCCTGCGTCTTATAGTAAGTCAATGGATTGTTGTCCGCGACCCATGTGAACCTACGACACCCAAGGAGGAAGTGCCGCCATCGCTTGAGAGCCATGACGAATGCGAGCAGCTCCTTCTTCCTTGCATCATCAAGCGAGTTGATGGGAGGCACTTTGTGGCTGAAATACTCCACAGGGTGCCAGTCATCGTCGTCGTGCTGTTCCAAGACTGCCCCAATGCCATAGCCGGAAGCGTCCATAGTCACTCGCGTCGGCAGGGTGGGGTCATAGATGCTAAGGACGGGTGCCATGAGCATAGCCGTCTTAAGTGCTTGGAATGACCGGCGTGCGGCATCATCGAATATGAATGGCACCTTTGGCGACTGTAACCTCGTCATAGGTGCAGCAATCTTGGAGTATCCGGTGATGAATCGCTGATAGTAGCCCACCAATCCCATGAATGAACGAATGTCCGTGGTGTTGGTGGGCTCGGGCCATACTCGTTAGGCCTCGATCTTGTCCGCAAGCGGACGGATGCCTTGCGGCGTCACATAGTGTCCCAAGTATTCCAGCTCCTGCTGTGCGAACTCGCACTTTTCGCGGTTTGCTTTGTACTTGGCTTGTCGTAGCCACTCCAAAACGGTGCGCAGGTGTTCCACATGCTCGTCCAAACTCCGACTATACACCAAGATGTCGTCGAGGTAGATGAGTACAAACCGATCCAGCATGTGTCGGAACTCCGTTGTCATAGCCGCTTGGAAAGTGGCTGGGGCATTTGTAAGGCCAAACGACATGACCAACCTTTCGAAATGCCCATACCGTGTCTTAAACGCGGTCTTGTAGCGATCCTCCTTGTGAATCTCGAGTTGGTGGTACCCTGACTTGAGATCCARCTTAGAGAAGAACTGGGCGCCGCCCAATCGCTCGAGAAGGTSGTCGATGCGTGGGAGAGGGCCGGCGTTCCTGACCGTCTGCACGTTGAGCTTGCGATAATCGATGCACAACCGCAGGTCCTTGTTCTTCTTCCGGACGAAGAGGACAGGAGCACCGTATGGCGATGAGCTAGGCCGAATCCAACCTTTCTCTAGAAGATCGTCAAGTTGTGCACGGAGCACACTTAACTCTTCCTCGCTCATTCGGTAGATGCAGCCGCGCGGAGGTACGGCCCCGTCCTCGAGGATGATCTCGTGGTGGATGGGCCGATCCGGTACTACTCCGTGCGGGCCTTCGAACACGTCGCTGTAAGCGTCGAGAAGCTCAGTGATGCGTGGATCCGAAGATGAGTCCGTCGATGAAGSGTCTCGGGGCGGGAGGGCGTGGAGAAAACATACCCCCATCTCCTCGATGTCGTCTCTGATGATGGATGCTCGCATGCTTGCGGCGGATACCACGTGGCAGCTGATAGAAGGATGAGGAAGAGGCACCGTGCATGGAACTAGTACTCCGTTGCGATCACGAATGTGAACGGTGCGGTTGAAGAAGTTCACCGGGTGATCCTCGCTTCGCAGCCATGACATGCCCAAGATCATGTCAAATTTGGTGTCCAGAATGTCAAAGGACACCGCCTCACTTGCGTGAGGGGCAAAGTACACGGGGACGGCGTCAATGCACCGGTCGATTGACTTGCGCGTATGACCGTCTGCCAACGTGACTTGCGTAGGCTGGGACTTCCTCCGGACACGTGGGCCAAGGCCGGCGCGCACCATGAAGTGTTGGCTGATGTAGTTGCGAGATGCTCCGCAATCGATCAAGGCACTGCAGGTCGCCTCACCGATCTGAATGCGTATGTATAGCAATGGTGCGTCGATGTCGTCGTATTGTTGCGTCTTGAACTCGCGGTCAATCTTCGCGATGTACTCGTGAAGGTTGACAACCTCTACTCCGCCGTCCATCAACGGAGCTGGTACTGCAGTGTGCAAGTAGTCCCGCAGTTGTGCCATGAGCACATTGCAATGTGGTTTCGGCAATCGTCCGGTCGAGGGAACRGGCATCCACTGRAAGTYCGKGAACGTCAACGGGTCGAGCTCATCAAGTCTTGACCATGACGTCGAATCCCCGGCGATAGATTGCGGCGAAGGTGCCGAATCGGTTGCCGATGGTGATGAAACCGTGCATGCGGTGGACTGTTGCACGTGGAGCGGCTGGTCCAGCGGTGGAACCAAGTAGACAGCATAGTCCTCGTAAGAGTAACGAGAACTTGCGACATTCGCGTCCTCCCCNCTGATCCTGGCACAGGGAGGTCTTGTGCTTGGTGCTGTTGCACCAATAGCAGCTGCCGTAGCGGCCGCGGACTTTGTACTCCGCCTCGGTCAAGCCGAACTTGACCCATGGAACTTGTACTGACTGTCCATTTCCGGCCTGCGATGCGGATTTCACCTTCCCATTGTTGCGGGACTTGTTGTTGCTTCGCGGCTGGACAGCAGCCACCTGATCTCCGTCACTTGATGTTGGAGTGGCTGTTGGGTTATCTCCACTGTCCTGCTGGACTGCAGCGAAGTGCTGCTGTCGCGGACCAGTTCGTGCCTTCTCCACATAGGTCAGCTGCCATGTTGATTTCTCGTGTGCAGCTGACCTGTTGGTCTTGATGATCTCTCTCGCCTTGTTGCTGATCTCTGCGAAAGTTTGGTACTGCTCGCGATCACCAAGTGCGAGGCTCAGAGCGGCGCATGACCTGTTGTAGAACTCACGGCGCAGATGCGGAAATGGCAAGTCCAGATCGGGCGTGGCCACGATTTTCTGCCAATCCGTGAGCCAGTCACGTGTCGGTGTGCGCCCTTGAGCCATCGCGAAGATGCGGTTGATGGCGAGCGCGGGTGTGTCATCCACTATGAACCGCTTCTTCCATTCCTTTGCCATATCCTCCCAGGTGACCTTCTTATGCAGGTCTGAAACCTGGACGCCGTGGATGGTTGCCATGTGGCTGAGCCAAATCTGACATCCTCCCTTGGTGTTGATGAATAGAGCACTGATGAACAGATGGTTAGGGACCTCGTGGATCCCCAACCCCGTTGTAAATCCTTGCCACCAGACGACCGGGTCTTGATGTGTGTAGTCATCAAATTTCTCGATCCGGAACGTTGGCATCTTGTATGGCCTTGCTGAGCTGTTGTTGTGGCTGTGGTCGGTCTGCTGTTGCTGACTGATCTTAGTGTCCAGCAACTTGAACCGCTGGCTGATGGTGGCCGGCTCTGTGAAGGCACTTACGTCTCCTAGCATTGCCACTACGTGGTCAACGCGTTCCTCCAGTTGGCGGCTAGAGGATGCACTGCTGGAAGCCCCAGCATCTGGTCCTGGGACAGCCTGTTCCAGGTCCAGTACACGAGCATCCAGTGCCCATGTGGCATCCTCGTGCTGAGTCTTATGGTTCCGCACGGCCCGCTGGAGGTTCGCCAGCTCGGACTGTAGGTGGTTACAAGTATAAACCAACCTGGTCACGAGCTTGGCCATGAACTCCTATGTACTATCACGGGTGCCTCCTGACTCGGGCGAGCAGTCCAGGAGGCTGCTCTTGCCAATAATGCCGAAGGGAGGCAGGGGCTGCAGCTGCAGCTCCTGCTCGTTCTCTTGCCAATAATGCCGAAAGGAGGCAGGGGCTGCAGCTGCAGCTCCTGCTCGTGCTCTTGCCAATAATGCCGAAGGGAGGCAGGGGCTGCAGCTGCAGCTCCTGCTCGTGCTCTTGCCAATAATGCCGCAGGGAGGCAGGGGCTGCAGCTGCAGCTCCTGCTCGTGCTCTTGCCAATAATGCCGCAGGGAGGCAGGGGCTGCAGCTGCAGCTCCTGCTCGAGCTGGCGTGGGAACAGGCCAGAAATAGCCTGTTCCGAAACCCAGTTTTCGTGCCTGAATCTTAGGGCAGGTCGAAACAAATGAGGGCCTAAAAATAGCCTAGGGCCTAAGAATAGCCCTCCATTTCAGGCTGGAAAAACTCTGGGTTTGAAAGACCCAGAAATATGCTGAAACGGAGTAGGGCCTGCAGGCCCTCGTTTTTCAGTTTTCAGGCTGAAACGACCGGGGCCTGTAGCTCCTAAGTTTTAGGCTTGAAGGCTGAATGTCCGGGACGGGTCCTACAGGGCCCGTGTGGCTACGCAGTCTGCCACACCCCCCCCTCCTTGAAAGACCGAGCTTACCTGCGAGGGCGAAGCTGTCTGTCTGAGGGAGGRACCACAGTCCGGGTGGGAGGGGGAGGTCGTGGAGGTCCCTTGGCTAACCTTTGACGTTCATAGTGAGCCTAGATCAGCGGTGCGGATGCTTTCAAATCTGCTCCTGAAATCAACCGAGTGTCGTCGCGATTGCATGCTTTGAATGTGACTTTGTACTGCCGCGGCTTGCTGTCGTACTTGCGATCGGTGATGACGCGGTCAACTTCCTGATGGCCATCCATAGAAGGAGGGTCCTGCGATCGTCGGCCCGGAAAGTCGTCGCTCTTGGGTGGCGTGTATGTTGCCAGCTTCGAGGCGTGGAAGACCGGATGGACCGTCAGATGCTCTGGAATGTTGATCACAAATGAAGGGCCATCGGGCTCATCGGCCGCGGCTRCTGTCACAGACCAAGGTCCAAACCACTTGGGAAGCAGTTTGCGTGAAACGTCCTGTTCCAGTGCAA